GCGCGGAGGCGGCAGAGGTCCCTGGCCGGGAAGCGCAGCAGGACGTTAAACAGCACGTCCGTGGGGAGCCTGTCGGAGCTGGCAGCCTCTCGCGCACGCCTGCCCCGGGTGATAGGCGGGGAGTACGGCCTCGGCGACGCCATCGCCGAGGCACATCTGCAGATCTGCTAAACAGGCACACGGCTCCATGAGTAAGGAATCAAAATCGACGCTAGCGCGGTGAGCAAGGCGAGAAGCTTACTCAGATCAGTCGATTGGAGCAGTGGACGTACCGGTGGAGAGATGCAAGGCGGCGCTGGGCGCAGGACGGCGAGCGGCGGGCGGCGGGCGGCGGAGGGGAACGGGATTCAGCTGGTGGAGAAATGCTGGCTGGGTGAAATGTTTTTTTCCCTCTCCTATAATTTTTTTTAATGATATAAAGTCACGCAAAGGATATCTATCTCTATATCTTGGTGTACGGCAAATAATAAAATAAACAGAAATGCTATACAACACACATGTGTTTTAGCAAAAAAAAAACATATTAATTTTTTAATCTCTCTCCTTGTGTTTCTCAACGGCCCTTGGGCGGTGTCAGCCCTTGCGTACGGCGGTGCGCCACTTTGCTTTGCCATCGCGCAAAAGCACGTTCGAGAGGCTGCGCCACGGCACGATTAGACGATGGCCGGACGCGCGCTCATGATCGTGATTGTGGAGAAACTGCCACACGGACGGAGGGCTATAGTGATCGCAACGCTAACCAGTGACCAATAGTGTCGCGTAGTATGTGTGATGACACCGACGGACGCCGGCGCGCAGCTCGTACGTGATGGAGACGAGCCCGGGCGCCGGCGGCGGCTACCTACAGCGACCGTGACCTGCGACGGTGACGGTGGCGGATCTGTGATTTGTTCTTTCATAGAAAAAAATATATTCTGTGATCTGTGATCATGTGATTGTCTGAAGGTAGAAGAAGGCTGGAGGTAGAAGAAAGGTGGAAGGCTGTTAGATCTTAATTTTATGGTGTAAAAAAATTTATTTGTTGGAATTACATAAAACACATGGGTGTGTACTAAAATAAAACGTTGTAGCTTTCTAGCTACAGTAGCTTTTGCTATGTATCTAGATAAAATCTTTTTGACACTAAAACTATTTATAATTTAGAATGAAAAGAAATATCTCATCTAAAACTAATTTCACTATAAATTCTATCTCAACGTACAAGACATGCACATCATGCTCCACTAACTATCTATATCATCTTCCACTAACTATACACATTAGCTGGCAACGTTATCTAATACCTACTGAAAAAGCATCGTCTGCAGGAACATATAAGGAACACAGGCTTACAATCATTCACCACTGGAACAAAGTGCTGGAGAAACCAAATCTTATAGAATAAACTAAGGTCTCCTCAGGATTGTAGGAAATTTTTCCATTTCATGTGTTTTTATGTGAAAATGAATTGATTCTGATGAAATTCCTGTACAATTCCTACGAAATTCTGCGTTCCAAAGGGGCCTAAAAGAATAGATCAAAATTGCCGTATCAAAAGTCAACCAGTTACTTCCTTAATAAACGCACCGTTTGCTAAGATCTGCAAAGAGCTTACAGATATGACGGTTTATACTCTCACTGGTCTTTCGTTGCTGCTAGATCGGACATTGTCGAGATAGAAAGAGGCTAGAAAACCCCAAGATGAAACAAGAAATAAAAAAAAAAAAACTAAATCTATGAAGAGAATGAGTTCATACGCCTTTGGCCACCCACAAGGTCGTCGGTATAGAGAGAGAGGAGGGGACCTTGGCGATGGTGGTGAGAGGGCCTAAGCGGCAATGATTGGATGAGCAAGTCTTTTCGCCCTGTTCGTTTGGGCTTGTTTGACTTATAAGCCGTACTTTTTCAGCCAATGAACAGTATTTTTCTCTCATATCAAATCAGCCAACGTCAGCCATGGCTTATCAACCAAATAAGCCCAAACGAACATGTCGTTTTGTTTTAAGGAATCCTACTTAAAAAGTTTGCATTGTGTTCCTCGTCCAACCACCTTACGCTTTGGGCACCATCCTTCCATTCGATCGAATGCATAGACAGGCACCATGCAAGCTTGTCCATTTGATCTTGCAGCACAGGACCCGACCACTCTCTCCCACTCCCTCTCTCCTCACAGGCTTGCTCGAGCTCCCCCACATGCTCCATGCCCAACCTCGCTCCCCAGCGGATGCAAAATTCCATGTCATAAATACCCATAGCTTAAGTTCTCGATGAGCATCCAATGAAAATCTCAGGAAATCATTGCTGTCCCCGCTCGCTCCCTGGCACACACACACACCATCGCTGCTCCCCATGCACGAACAAACCTGCATTGCACCTCCCCCTAGCAAAAGGCTCTTGCGCCCCCTTCTCTTCTGCTGCTGGCCATGTGTGATTTGTTCCCTGCCTTTATTTGTAGTCCGTATCATTTTTCAATACATTTGGCAAGGTATCAACTTCAACGGTCAGTACTGCTGTTATCAATGGATCTTAGTGATGATATATTACCACGCTTTGATATTACAACTACATACATTTAATCATCATAAGATCTAGAAATGATTATAGGCAACGCTGACTTAGGTGAGACTTTAAAAGGATCTAGTGGCTTTAGAGGAGGGTTAAATTATGTTTAAAAATTAAAGCAATAACAAAAACGTCAACATATGCAAATCTATTTCACATACTTGCACCGAGGCACCTAATACTAAAAATATCACACTAGGAAGTCCTAGGTCCGTAGCTTCCATTACAGAGATGGGGAATGAGAAGAGCCTCTTTGGGTTAGACTTGGCAGAGCAACAGAGTGTCAGGGACGGTTGTTGTTATGAGTTGCGATGCTGTGTTGCCCTTTACCAAGACAACGTCAGGAACAGATGAGGATAAGAGTAAGACAAACTCAATTGGTGGCAAAAGTAGAAGGTCAGGTCCTTATTTGTGAAGACAAAATGTTTAAATGGAAAAGAAAAAGCTTCAAAAGACATTCCAACGCGTTAATTGTGAGTGGCATTTTAAAGAAACCCAAGTTTTATAGTTGTAGATTTCCAATTTTCTCTCCACTTCTCGGGTGACAAAATATGACGAGCCTAATTCTCTTACTGTCGGGGTTATAACCCCGGGATGTCTAAGGGCATCGACTAAGTAACAGGCCAAAGCGGCCCATTATACAAAAGCCAGCGAAAGCCCGAGCGACCGAGGCCCAGCTGAGCCAAGTGAGCCAGGCCTAGGATCAGCCACGACCCATCCCTTTTGCCTTAGATGCACGATGCATAAGAGACGCACGACCTCTCACCGTCACGACCTCTAGGAGGAACGGGGAGAGGTCAAGCCCAGCCAGAAGTACCCGCTCTGACAGGAGTAGGCACGCCACTCTGACCCCGCAAGGACCGAGGGGATAGCGGTCACCTCGGTTCGGTCAGACGCCATCCCTACGCCACACAGCTCAGACAAGACAACACCGCCCAAGGCGGTGACGATCGGTACGGTAACCATCGGCCAAATAAGGCCCGACAAGACGCATGTACGATTCTATCCACTACGCGAATGGGATCCACGACGAAGACCTTGTCTTAGAGGCCATCCAGACCGACGAGAGCCACGACCCCAACGATCGGGACCGTGGCCCTCGGCTCCTCAAGCCCACAGAGGCGGCTACCAACTCCTATTCGACGCCCCAGGAAACCAGGAGCGATGACGAAGACCACAGCGGAGACCACGTCGCACAGGACGGCTGGCGAACCGCTACCGTGCCTACGGTGCCACCACGGCCGGCGCAGTAGCACCACGTCACCCCATATCGCGCGCGTGGCCACAGGACCGTGACGACAACCACGTCCAGACGTGCACCACAAGACGGTGTAGCTTGCAAGCCAAATTAGCTAGGTCCTCCCTCAGGCTCATGACCCTTCGGTCGGGAGAACCTTTTTCTTTGTAACACGCCCTAGCTCCGAACTCTATATAAGGGCAGCCATGACACCCCATCAGGGGATCCGACTCTCATTCACTCATTCTTACATAGTAGAAGGGCTCCTAAAGCTTCCCTTCGGGTAGCCTATCTCTTAGCTCTAGTTCTCCTACCTCTTTCACCATTCTTGCACCCTCATTGTAAAAACTTCAGAGCATTCAAGCGAGGAACACACACTCGATCATCTCTAAGACTAGACATAGGGCTCTAGCCTGAACCAGTATAAATCTTCGTGCCTTTTGGATGCTACCATCGTCTTTTTAGAGCGACGCGACAATCGTATATATTTGCTAGTCCGGTTTATAAAACACCAACACTTACTCTTTAGAGAATCTGGAGCAGGAGGGGCTTACCAAATTCTCATAACGAGCCTAATTCTCTTACCTTTTAGAGATCTTCAAGTGTTTTCAAAACTCACTCCAAATCTTGATTTTTTAGCAAGATTAAAAAATATTTCTCCAACAACTCGTTATCTCAGCTTACAATCTTTTCGTAGTTAGGAAAATCGATCCAAATGCATAGAAATATATGCGCGCATATCCGTTAGTTGAAGGTGGAAGGACGTGGAGAAGAAAAAGATAGGGTTTTCATTTTCTAATGTAAATGTAAAAGAGAGAGAAAGTATAAAAATAGCTACGATAATTTAAAATTAGTTCATGATTCTTGATATAAAATTACCTTCTAAATGAGATAGTAGAAGTAGTTGGAAAATATGTTTTCTACTTTTTTTTAGCGACTTAAAAAACTTATTGATTTACCAACTAGTTTTCAGGAACTATCCGAGATGCTTTGATTGCTTGTTTGGAATTAGTTAACCCAAGAAATTTTTTATAAACCGATGATGTTAACATTAATTATATACTAATGAAAACGTTGAGCCAATGTTCAGTTTAATGGCGCCGTATTCGCCGTATTTTTTTTCAGTTAAAAATTAAGAAAAAAGTTAAAAAAAAAAGGAAGACGGCAGACAGGAAGATCAGGGACTTTCAAAAATCGCCTCCTCCAACACACCGAGTCACCAATGGAGCAGGAGCTGCTGAAGATCCTGCGCGGCCTCAAGTCCCCCCGCCACCTGCAGCAGACCCACGCCCAGCTCCTCGCCCGCGGCCTCTCCGCGAGCCCGCGCCTCCTCCCGGCCCTCGTCTCCGCCGCGTTCTCCGTCGCCTCCTCGTCCCCGCGCCATGCCGCCGCCGCGGCGATCCTTCGTGCTGCCGGCGCCGGCGCCTCCACTGTAGCGCACAACACCCTCATCGAGCGCCTCGCCGGGCGCGGCGGCGGCCGTGACTGCTCCGTGGTAGACGCGTTCGCGGTCTACGCTGCGATGCGTGCCTCAGGGGTGTCCCCCAACGGGTTCACCTTCACATTCCTGCTTCGCGCGTGCGAATGCCTGAGGCGGCTGCCGCTGTGCCGGGTCCGTCCACGGACAGATCGTCAGGTGTGGGTTCGGCTCCGACGTTGTCGTGCAGAACGCTCTCCTGAACGTGTACTACAAGTGCAGCGACCCAGGTGATGTTGGGGTCGCTCGTAAGGTGTTCGATGAAATGGTGGATAGGGACGTGGTTTCATGGAACTCCATAGTCGGTGTGTACATGTCGAGCGAAGATGTGACAGGTGCCATGGAGTTGTTCGAGGCGATGCCGGAGAGGAATGTTGTCTCCTGGAACACTGTTGTCGCTGCATTCGCGAGGGTGGGGGATATGGTGTCTGGCACGTGCTGTGTTTGATAGTATGCCGATCAGGGATGCCATTTCTTGGAATCTCATGATCTCAGGGTATGCAGCAAGTGGCAATGTTGAGTCTGCATGGTCAGTTTTTGATCTAATGGATGGAATGATGTAGTTTCGTGGACAGCTATGGTCTCTGCCTATGCAAAGATTGGGGATCTAGATTCAGCTAGAGTGCTGTTTGATCAGATGCCTGATAAGAACTTGGTTTCGTGGAATGCAATGATAACAGGGTACAACCACAACTCGAGGTATGATGAGGCACTGCGCACGTTTCAGCAGATGATGCTTGAGGGAAGATTCATGCCTGATGAAGCAACATTAGTAAGTGTCGTCTCAGCCTGTGCTCAGCTGGGCAGCGTTGAATACTGCAACTGGATCAGTTCTTACATTAGTAAAAGCAACACTCATATAACTGTTGCATTAGGAAATGCTCTCATAGACATGTTTGCAAAATGTGGAGATGTCGGAAGAGCACGGTTAGTTTTTAATAAAATGAAGACAAGATGTATCATTACATGGACAGCAATGATATCTGGTTTTGCTTATAATGGACAGTTTAGAGAAGCTCTGTTGATCTACAATGATATGTGCAGAGAAGGAGTCACACTGGATGATACAGTCTTTGTTGTTGCACTTGCTGCTTGTGCTCATGGGGGTTTGTTGCAAGAAGGTTGGAGCATCTTTGAGCAAATGATTGAGCACTATGGGATTGTGCCAAGAATGGAGCATTATGGATGCATAGTGGATCTACTTGGTCGAGCTGGTAAGTTACAGGAGGCAGTTTGATTTATTGAAAGCATGCCTCTTAAGCCTGCGGTTGTCATTTGGGTAACTTTGCTTAGTTCTTGCATTACACATGGTGATGCAGAGTTGACAGAGTATGTCAGTGCAAGGGTACTTGAAATAGAACCTTTTAATTCTAGTTATCAAGTGTTGGTTTCCAATTGTAGTGCCCTAGAGGGAAGGTGGAGCAGTGTGATGGATGCTCGCAGAACAATGCGTGATTGGGGAGTTGAGAAAACTCCTGGTAGTAGCTTGATTCAGGTAGGAAATGAGGTGCATGAGTTTTTGGCTAAAGACATGAGGCACCAGATGAGGAAAGAGGTATATGAAACTTTGGATGGTTTAATAGCCCTCATCAGACATACAGAACACACCCCTTGGATAAGTTATTGCAGCACACTTGAGTAACAGAGAGTTTTTGAATAGTTGCAACCTTACTAAGTGAACAATGGGTTCGAGACTGATTCCTGTGGGAGGCCTTTTGTCTAATAGGCAATCAAGGGCTGATGAGCTTTGTAGCCAAGATTGTGATTAGATCAACAGTTTATGATTTAATGGCATCCATGGCCAGTAGAGGACAACTCTAGGATAAGTTGAGTTATTCACTATCTTGCCAGGTTGGCTGTGCGCTGTGCATTTGGCAAGTGAATGAAAGTTGATTCAGCTGTCGCCTATGATCTAGAATATCATGGAACTGGGGGGGCGGAAATGAACTGTGTTTAATGATGAGGCCACCACTGACACCCGCTGACCATGTGCCAATCTTAAAGAGGAAGAACCTACTTTGCATCTCAGATGTTTCATTGAAGTAAGTTACTTACGTAAAATAATCTTCTTTATTATAAATTCATGTATGTAGTTTCAAGCTTTTCTAATTGAAAGGGCGTACCCAGTGCAGAGAGCTCCCGCTCTGTGCGGGGTCTGGGAAATGGTGTCAGTGGCAAGCCTTACCCTCGCTTGTGCAATGCAAGGAGACCGCGACTCGAACCCGGGACCTTCCGGTCACAGGCGGTAAGACTCTACCGCTTGCACCAGGCCCGCCCTTCTAGTTTCAAGCTTTTCTAATTACCAACAAAAAAATTGTTGAGGATTATTTTCCACTGATGATCTACCTGGCTCATTGCATCTTGTTGAATCGCATTCTCAATCCATCAAATTGATGAAATGTCTTGGTTTCAACATCTTAATACATTTTAAAACAAGAACAAAAAATGCTAAAACATAACCATTCAAAGAGTTCACTGATGATGGAATTTTAGTTCATTGTGTGTTAACACTAGTTACCATCTTCACATTCAAATGGAGTTCTACCCTGTTGCTTCTACACCTGCATTACTATGTAGAGTAAAACTATCTTATCATGTTAGGTATATTCACATGGTTTTGATCTCAGGGTTTACAACGAATTTGCATTTTGTTGTCAGTATTGCTCCAGTTTTGTATTAGTTTCACATTGTATGTGCTGTTTCTAGTTCTGCGCCTTAAGGGCAGCTGTCGGTGGTTGGGCCTTGATAATTTGCTCTTTTTTTTACTCCCAGTTTTTTATTTGATATCCTAGAATCCTTGGTGTCAAACTTTATAAGGTTTGACCATTGATAGGTCTGAAAATATCAATACTGATTATATGAGAATGATATGGCTCATGGTTAGGTTTGTCTTCAGGAATGCTTTCAAAAGTTTAGATTTATTAGATTATATAGTAACATAGTGATCAAAAGAAACTAGTCAGAGTGATGTCTCAAAAAACAAGATGGCGATAAAGGTCAAATAAGAAACCAGAAAGTATTTTGTGAACTTGAATTTCTCCCTCTAGTGGAAATGCATTTTAAGAGTAAAAGGTTGGTCTAGTGTTGAATCTTCATTTTGGACGTAGGCTCCCCTGTCCTTCCTATTTTTTTGTTACCAAACTTTGATACATCAACCTCAACTCATCGTTTGTTATGCTGCTGTGGTTCCAGAGGGTTCAGAGTGCTTTGGTATCACAGTTTTTTTTTTTAAATCTTTAGAGGAAAGGAAACCATCCATACTGGATCATCCTGTTTCCTCACTTTCTGACTCTCCAGCCCTTTTCATTTTGCTCCTCTGTTGCCTCCAATTTTTATATTGTATACTCCAGTACAACTGGTTATACTTGAATTTGTTCCACAATAATACCATATTACATTTAGATGTACTTGAGTACTTCTTTTGAGCAAGGCATTCATTGGATCTTCCTTTTTGTGCAGGCTGGGGAATTGCATTGGTCTCTCAGGACTCATGTTTGCAATTTGATATATTTAACATACTTCCCTCACAAAATTGTAGCAACTTTGATAGAATTGAGTCTCTTATGCTACAGCTGTTGAGCATATCTTATTTTGGTGAAGTTGAACGAGTTTGTTTGCAATGTGCTTTTGATCTTTCAATTCTGTAGAATTGTCCGGAACAAACTTATAAATCCTCCATGTGCCCAGTTCTTCAGTTGACATGCTAGATTTCTGAATGCAGTTGCTATCTTCTGGTCCCATAAATAATGGTACTCACATCACACATGCTGGAACCCGGAAGCATCACATCATGTCCAACCACCCAAGAGTACTACAGTGCTGGGTGCTGCTCAACTAATTGCGGTGGTACTTCTGCTGTTTCACATGTGCACCAAGCTAGGACCATGCATGGACAGCCTTTAGAACTAATGGCGGTGACCACAAGAGGTAATCTAATCTTATATTGTCCATAGCTGCAGAAATGGTTAAACAGAAACTGTTTCGTTTACTCTGAGTGATCTGCAAGCAGTTTCACAAGAAAGAACTGCCTCCGTGCATAGTTGATGGCTCGACACCATAAATGGGAGGAAAGTGTGCTCCAAACTTCGGTAAGACAAGCTTGGCCTCTTGTTGGCATGGTTGAGTTGCCTACCTGTGTAAGGAAAATGAACCCTAAACCAATTTACTTTGGATTTTGATTTTTTATGACCAACATGACTAAATTGAACTAATGAATTTGCAAGTAATTGTTTTATAGTTCAATAGGGTGCAAGACGTGATTTGGACGAATGCGACATGATGATCCGATGATTAATACCTTAAGCAAGACCCTAGAAGCACAAGGGAAGACTCAAGATATCAAGCAAAGTCCAAGCATGAAGATAGAAACCAAGCCGGACGCAAGATCGCGAAGATACGAGCTCACAGAGGTGATCGGACGCTGGACCGGACGCTAGAAGGTGATTGATCGGACGCTTTGATCAGTGACTCGGCTACAGCAGGCGTCAGCAGCAGCGACAGGACACTGAACAAGTAAAATGACCGGATGCACCAATGGCACTGTTCATTATCCCGGCAACACATTCAGCATTGACCGGACACTGGCGGCAAATCGACCGGACGCAGAACAGCAACGTCCAATCGAGTACAGAGAGGTTCCGGAGCGGCAAAATTGCAACCGGACGCGTCCGGTGACATGTGACCGACGCTAGCAGCGTCCGATCAGTTGATCGCGACTCTAACGGTCGGGACGACCGGACGCATCCGGTCAGGACGACAGCAGCGTCCGATCAGTAGCGGAAAAGCGGGATTTCGTCCCCAACGACTACTTTCTCAGTGGGGCTTATAAATACAACCTCCAACCGACCAAATGAGATGTGTGGAGCTGAGAAAACATACCAAGGGTATTGATACACCATTTTAGTGATCTCCACTTGCATAATGCTTAGTGATTCATTAGGTGATTAGCATATGTGCTTTGCGAAGTGTTTAGGTTGATTAGACCACCGCTTATACGCTTGCTCTAGGTTTAGGCCTAGTGTTTAGTGAGGTTTGCATACCTCTTACCACTCGGTGCTTGTATGCACCATTGTTGTACATTAGAGGGGCTTATAGTCTTGCGAGATCACACCAACCGCGATTGTGGTGTGGCCGTCACCGTGTACCGGAGGGAATAAGGCCCGCGACGTTTCGATCGAAAGCTTGATAGTGAAGACGGTGGGGAGCATCCGGGAGAGGCTTGCGGAAGGCACGTCGGAGACCCACTTGCATGTGGGGAAGGCCCGAGGCTATCCATGGAGTTACCCGACCGGGAGCTTGGCCCTTGCGAGGGATTCCTTGCGAGGGGCTCCAACGAGGACTAGGGAGAAGCTTGTGCGCTTCTCGATACTTCGGTAAAAATACCGGAGTCGTCGACGGGAGTTTATATATCTTTACCTTGCTCTTTAGCTTCCGCTTTTACATTGATTGTATTACTCTCTTTTGCGGTAGAGATAGCAACACACTAGTAAAATCATAATTGCACATTTAGATAGTTTATCTTTTGTATATGTTTTGCTAAGGTTAGAAAAAGATGTCATAGTTTAGAGTTAGAATTTTAAGTTGCCTAATTCCCCCCTCTTTTTAGGCGTCATGGTCCCCTACAAGTGATATCAGAGCCGGTTGGCTCAATTTGGATCTTTGGCTTAACTGTCGTTGAGCTGATGCTATTTAGAGTGGTTGGGATGGATACCTCTAGGTCTCTGCACTTTGACGGCACTAACTTTTCTTATTATAAAGTTAGAATGGTTTGTCACCTTGAGGCGGTTGATTTGGGTGTTTGAGAGTCACTCGTGACGGGATGAAACCCATTAAGAATTTTGATAAACCCACAAAGAGTGAAGAAAAAGAAATATTTCAATGCTAGAGCTAAAAATTGCTTATTTGAATCTTTTAGCATTGATGTGTTTAATTAAGTGTTCACTTTAAATATGGTACATGAAATTTGGTTAAAACTTCAAGAGTTCCATGACGGCACAAGTAATGTCCATGAGTAAAAATATTGTCTAGGTAAAAAAATTACGATTCCTTTGAAATAAATGATGATGAGCTTGCTCGTGATATGTATTCTTGTTTGAATCTAATTATCAATGAGCTCCATTCTATAGGATTAACAAAGCTAGATGATACGGACATCGTGAGGAAAACCATCTCCGTGCTACCACAAAAGAAATATATAAGCATCATCACCATCCTTCACAACATGAAGGACTTAAGCACCATGACCCCGGCCATAGTTATTGGTAAGATAGTGGCATTTGAAATGTCACGCAAGATGGGGTAAGAAGAAGCCTCTTCATCAAGGAAAGGCAAAGCTCTCGCATATAGTGAGAAAAAGAAGATGAAGGGCAAGCAAGTTGAGACAAGCTCAAGCTCAATCTCCTCGATTGAAGATGAAGAAGAAGATGAGATGATGATGATGAAGATTCAAGTGATGATGATCAATCTTCCTCCACCTCCGACCTTATTGAAGAATCAATCAAACTTATCAACAAGGTGAAGAAGATGATCCAAAGGCTCAATGTCAAAGGTGTGCCCATCTAAATTCAAGATCTCATTTTCACCAATAAAAAAATGAGTAAAGAAAAAGAGGATGATATAGATGCGGTGAGTTGGGGCACTTTG